GGGAGGGAGGGAGGGAGGGAGAGAGGGAAAGGAAAGAGGGAGCAAGAGCGAGAGGACTGGCCTCTACCTGCCGAGCGGGCGAGCGACCGAGGCGAGACTCGTGTGTACGTGTGTGTGGTAGCCCGTGGTTATGGCTCGTCGTCGGTGGTTCCTCGCCGCCTTTATTACAGCGGAACCCGAATGCGTGCGCGAACGCGAGCGTACCCCTCTCGCCTGACCGGCCTACCCCGCCGCCGTAAGGCTGCGTTCACACGTGAAATCGATTTTCGCGCGGGGACCGTCATCCGACCGTTCCTCGCCGAGGAGTCGCATTACTACGGTTAATGAACGGAACCAACGCCGGCCGATCGTCCAATCAGCTTTTAGGTAAGACCCGCCAGAAAGATTTCGACAACAGACCTATTCTTTTTAGCTCAACTTGCATCGTTCATCGTTCTCTTTTTTTTTCTCTGAGAGGAAAAAATAAATCAAGTTCAGCTAAAGAGAACAGATCTCATCATCCCTCTTTTCTTTTTCTGTTTTTTTCTTCTTCATCTGACCTCCAGTGATCGAATGAGTAGTCGTTGGTACCGAGAGAACTCGTCTTCAAATGGAGAACGAAGTCTTTTCGGTTCGTCGAACCCGCTGTATCTCGCGGGGCAAGCACGTGGTGTTTGCAGTAAAATCTTCTGATTTTAGACACAATTAAGATTTTATTTATCAATAATACACTTAGTAATTCATTCATCGTTCGACACGCATAGCGTATCGAGTAATCGATACTATGGTGGTAATTGTAAAATTATATTAATCCTCAATGTAAATTCAGTGGAATCTGTCGGGATTCCACCCAAGGAACACCTCAAGTCAAGAGAAAGTCAAAATGACTTTAATGTGACGTCATGAAAATCGAAATGTTTTTTTGTTACAAAATTTTGCGTTAAGAATCGAAACAAAATCATTTTGATTTTTTGTTGATTTTTTGTGTTCCTTGGACACCATACTGATAATAATTATCTCGATGATTTTTTGCACAAACGCTGAATTGCTTAAAAAGCATGGATCATATAAGATTTATTCATGTTGCTCGCCAGGTAATTTTTTTGCATTTTCTCAGCATTTTACACTTTCTCTTTTTTTTTACGTCCGAGTATATATTTATCTCGTTTTGAATACAAAAATTTTTTGAGATTTCAAGCAACGCGAATAAACCTAATAATTGCGCGGAAATCAGCTTTCCATCCCCCATCGACATCATTACGCGGAGACGCGTTTAGAATTCTCTTCCCGACAGAAGCATCGCGTATGGTGGCTCTTTTCAATAACTTATGTAATGATTTTGCAACCGAAAGCATCAAGCGGAATCCCTTTTTTACTGCATCGATCGAGACGCTTATACGACTCCGGTATCTAAGATCACGGATTGCAGCGCAACGTGTCGTCGAGCTCGCGCGTTGTAAACAGATGATCTTGACAGCTTCTTCGCACGTATGCGTCGCACGTGCGTTACTGCGTATTTCTCGCAGTTCTCCGATTAACCGTGTCCGCAAGTGCGAATGTATATTTTCTTTGTCTGCACGCACCGCGCTACGTCGGTGTGAACGCCGCTTGGCTCAGGTGCGCGTGCACAAAGAGGCATCTTCGGTGATGCATCTCGCGGCTGGCATCTCGCAGCGGAAACGGCGGCGCGTCTTCTCTGCGGTATCGCGAAGTGTACTCTGAATTTCTGAAACGCGGCTTGCAAAAAAAGAGCCTATATAATAATAGCTACGAAATATGAATGAAATACTTTCAATCAATTATTCGATTGGTATAACTAAAAATAATTTTATTTTTCTAAATATATGTAGTAAGTATTATCAAACATAATAATATAATCAATCGGTTGTTAATCATTACTATACTGGAAAAATACTAAATTTTAATATTTGTTTGTGAATAGTTCTAAGTAAATATTTATTAAATGTAAACAGTATTTATTTGATAAAAACCATTAATTTGATTTAACCATCATTTTTTTCATCGAATAAATGTTTACTATAATT